CTTTCCCACGCACGCGCTTTGTCTAGGGCTTGTGTTAGACTGATATTTGTCGTTTCAAGTAAGCGTTTCTTTAAGTCAAGATCCTTTAATCTCTCAATAAGTTGATCCCTGAGGTTATCTTCAAGACTTGTACCGAAATTGCAYTGACGTGCRTGTTTTCGTAAGCGTACGGTGAATTGGTCCGCTGTTTCGCCGTCGTTGAATTTCATCTGACGAAAAACATGGCGCTCGTACGGGATATTTTCCTCTGTTTTGAAGTGGTTGTCGAGCTTCCTAATAGCTTCTTTGTATTTATTATCCGGGTCTGGCTTTTGCCCAGGATCTGTCAAGTCTTCGAATATGTCTTGTACATCCATCTTCGGATCTGTTATGCTTTCACCTTTGGCATAATATTCGAAAGCTCTCTTCCATTTTTTCCATCTGTCGGCTACAACTGCCGCCGAACCACTAAGGTCAAGCGTTGGAAGTTGCTTTGGCATCCTCGTCGCCAATGTTATGTTATATTCCTCGAGCCACTAAGGCAAGACTAAAGACTTAAAACAAGACAAGACAAACTAGACAACGCTTCGCTTTCACACACAACGTGGTTCTCTTTTTCAATACCTAATCACGTGACCTATTGACATATTCCACAGGGAATCCAATACACTACAGTATTTCTTACAAACTCTCACACTTATCTTGAACTGTTTGCGAAAAGGCCTTATTTTGCATGCCTATATTCCTGCTTTTTTTTTTAAATAAATATTTATATAATGCAGAATAGCTCAGCCACAGCCTAATACAATATACACATGTAAACCTGAGGTACTTTGATTTCTCTGTGCACTTTAGAGATATTTGGCTGAATGGTTGAATATCGAGCATGATAGTTGCCATGTGGACAGCATTAGTTGTATTTCTACCTTGAGGTGTCTTGATTGCATTTATATTGTGAAAATCATCTATCATCAGAATGAGGAATTTACCCTGTGTGAAATGATAAATTGTATCACAACTCAGCATGTCTAAGGAAAGGCTATCAGACAAAATTTAGACCCCCGCGAAGCTTTCAACCGAAATAGACTGGACACGAGGTTTCCTTGACAACAGACGCAAATTGGATGAATTGATGGCGTAGGTCTGTGTATAGACGCTATCTGTCGATATTTTAATTTATTATGTGTTTTTCGAGAACTTTTTGCTGTTAAACAGCAAATAATATTGTTTGTAGTATTGCCACGTTCCATTTGGACCATTGTGTGAAAGAAAAGTTGTATTTCTACCGAAGTTATCTTCAAAAGAGTCCTCGACACGAAGCGACCACGGGACTGCATGACATAATCTTAGAGACATGGAAGTTGAGGTTTATTATGGTTGATTTAATCTTGGCAAATCGT